TTTTCGATATTTTCCTTTTCTACTTTTTTTCGACATTTTTCCCTTTCGACGTTTTCCTTTTCGACGTTTTCCTCTAACCCCGATAATCTCAATAACATCAAATATATATGAAGCTCCTTCAGGCAGGCAGTTCAGCCAATTAAATATTTTTGGTGTTCGCTATTAGTCTGTCAAGTTTTATTTGTTTCGTATTACCGTCCCTTCAGTCGAGGGAAAATAGCTCGTTTCTGATTGGTCCATTTTCTAACCAATGAAAACTCAGATTGAAAGACTAATTACAGATTCGGATTCTTCGACCCCGATTTACTTTCGTCAACCTTTATAAAGAATTGTTATTTTCTTAAAAAACTCTTTCCTTCGTGAAATCGGGCTTGGACTGCCCAGGCAGGGGTAAAAATGAAAAAATGGCATTAAAATGCAGTCGAATTGTACAAAAAATAATGGTGTCAAAAAGTCACAAATAATGCCAAAAAATGCATGTTCTGGGATCCATTAAAATGATTTCACCAGTAACATTTTAATCCTTATCACATAAACCATTTACTTGTCGTTGTTTAACATAATAATTATTATTTTTTACTGCCGTAATAGTTCTTCGTTTTATGTCACAAAAAATCATTTTAATCTAGCCCTGTTGGCGTTTTATGTAATTACTTTTTTAGGCATTTCTTTAAGACCAAATATTGGCTAATAGAGTTCAACTTTTACCTTTTTCACATGAAAAAATAAGAAATTAAAAAAGATTCTGTCGCGTCTTACAACTAAACATTTTCTTCTAGACGAAAAAGGTACAAAATTGCTCTTATAAAATGTCATAAAGATTCTAGATTACCAAATCAGCTGCTCTGTTCATCTGACAAACTAGTCTTTATAACATTTGATTAGAACAACTTTTTCGTCTACAAAAGCATATTTAGTTGCACGACATAAGAGAATTCTTTTTTATTTTTCTATGTGAGAAAAAGGCAGAGTTGAACTATATTAACCAAAATCGGTGGTGAGGATCTGCTCAAAAGGTAATTATACAAAACGTCAGCAAGGCTAGATTAAAATGTTTTTTTGACGTAAACTGGGAAAAACTCATTTATCGACTCCTTTCTACATGTTCACTTTTACCCATAAACTGAACAGTTATTATGGCATAAAAAATATAATAATGATGTGAAACGATGAAGAAAAATCGTTTATGATATAGAAGTTATGTTAGCGAAGTTTTAATCAGTTCAAAAGGAAATCGCAACTAGCTCAGGTGAAAAATAATTTTTTCTTAGTACTGAAATTACTTATATTTCAAAAATTGCACCTTCTTCGATGAATAATACGCGACTCAACCATGTTAGAATACAATTAATCGTTTTCTATCCTTCATTATATCTCTTGTCCTCTTACATATAATATGGATAAAACAGTAATATATAAAATATAATTCAAGCACACAAACATTTAGTTACTCTGAAAAACGAAATCGAAAAACTGAAATTAAAGTTGTCCATGCAAAATATACTCATAATCTATTGATCTTCTCATTTGGCCAGTGTAAGGCAGGATATCCTTCTATCTCTAAAAAATTTTTGAACTGGCACATAAAGTGAACACGAGACTTTCCAAAAGAAAATACTTGGGGTGAGAGGAATTTACTGACAAGTAGAAGACATTTCTTATGCTCAACTAGTGAACTATATGATATCAAAGTTTTGTGTGAGAGAAAACTGAATCAGTTGGATTCTAGAAAAATCGAAATATGTAGCAATTTAATTATTTTTCATTTGAACTAGTCGTATTTTATTTAATCTTGAGTAAGAAAACGATATTAAGTGAAACAATTCTCTTTACATGTAAGAGACAGCAATAGATATATGGATAAGAGAACTCACAAGAAAGTCTCCAAAAATTCAAAAGAATACTGATAAAAAAATGATAGGTTAATGCCTATTTGAATCATAGTTAAGATAAAAGTTCAAGTCAAGTCATTTGAAAATTATAGAAACACTTATACACGAAAATATTATACATTAAATTTTATGTTAGTGATGTCAAACTTAATAGAAAGCTTATTTAGTTGTTTCAATTATGAAAAGGAGAAATAACATCCTTCTAACATATTGAGTAAAATCAATGAATTCGATATCATGCATTCTCATATATTTGATCAATTCTTTCTCTCAAGACAAAGACTAAAGGCAACCAATGGGAATGAACGAATTATAAAATATCGAATATACAGGGTACTGGTGACAATGGAAGTGATTTCATAAGAGAAAAGTAACTTGAATCTTTATAATATCTAATAAAATCTTTTATTGGTGCAAATGTAATTCTGTGATTTAAAGGTTACTATTTTTTCAGCATGAATTGGTTGCAAAATAAAAATAATGTGCTTTCCGCTTCTAAAAGAAAAAGAAGTTATTGAAATAGATGCCTGTTTATCCTTGACAGACATATATCTCATTCGATAGTGATTATTTTAAATGGAATCGTAAAATGAAGAAATTGATAACTAAAAAACCTAAATTGATAGAGATGAAATCTGCCGAGTTCTAAACTAAGTTAAAATTACTTCAACAACTGGCACTCGGCATCGGTAGAAGAAATTTTATGTGCAAAAATATTTTACAAGGCAGTGTCATATCTGATTTTACAGTTATTATTCAACCATATCAAATTTCAAAAAAAGTTGCTTTTCGACCAATATTCAAAAAAGATCGATCATTATTAAATACTTTTATCTTTTATCAATATCCCAATTTGAAAGAATGTTCTTAAGCTAATATTATGATAGAAAATAAACATCTAAAATTATGCATTCGTATTATCATATAATTTCTAAAAATTCAAGAGTTTCTGCATTAGTTTAAAAATTAAACAAATAGAGTCAGTTTATAATAAATGGTCGTAATATTTGTTTTATATATCAAAAATGCATTTTAATGACGATGTTTTCATTATTCACTACAAACCATACATGATAATGGTCAAAATGATTGAGTAATGGAAAAATGGTCATTAAAATGACCATTTTTTCATTATTCACTTGACAGGGTGGTAACGGTATTTATGGTTATCTTAGTTGGACTGGTAACCGTAGCTACGGTTGTCGTAGATGGACCGGCAATCGTACGTACAGTTGCCGTAGTGGGACCGGTAACCGTAGCTACGGTTACGGTAGTGGCACCGGTAACCGTACCTACGGTTATCGTAGTTAGGCCGGTAGCCGTACCTACGGTTACTGTACTTAGAGCGGTAACCGTATCTATGGTGTACCGATGAATGATCGTCACCGTTGCATCCCTAACGATGGAACGTTCAGGATCGATGATCACTTTTTAAATTTTAGTGAGGCCAATTTGTAGAGCTTGTTAAGTTATTAACTGATATAATAATCGTTTGGGCCAACAACTCCCTTAAGAGTAAATTTCTTCTAATCAAAGTTTGCATTAGTCTATCATACCATATGGGGTCAAAGGTAAAAGGTCAAGGTACTGACCTTTAATCTTTGAACAAAATGTATAAGCATCTCAGCACCTTTAGTACCCAAAGGTGCTGAAAAGGTGCTGAGGTGCTGAGAGGGTGCAGAGGTGCTGCGAGTTCCAAACCTGCACTTTCCCCCTTGATTAGAACGTGTGAAAGAACCAAAAGATAAATAACATCTTTTTTGTTTTTTTTTGTCGAACTCAGTTTTTTTTGCTCTAATCAGTATTATGGAATATTTTTGATACTTATTTTTGACACTTATTTTTGACACTTATTTTTGATTAAAACTTAGATTATCACATTGTATATGTATGTGCGTATTTAAAGCAAAACATTTCCTATGTTATTGAAAATAAAACTAGTCTTTTGTGAATTATTTGCAAATAATTGAAGTAAGTTACAATATCAAAAAGATACTAAAAAGGTGCTGAGAAGGTGCTGAGAAGGTGCTGAGGTGCTGAGAAGGTGTTGAGGTGCTGAGAAGGTGCTGAGGTGCTGAGAAGGTGCTGAGGTGCTGGGGGTTCCAAATCTGCACTTTCCCCCTTGGTAGTGATTCTTTGTGCAGCATACTTTATTTCACTACAAAATTTAATGCATATTTATTGTACAAATTCGAAAAACTCTTTCTTTATATATACATCGTACACTTCAAACACGAATAACAAATAAGCTAAATAGTCACCACTGCATAGTAGCGGTTTGTTCCTCTATATTCGTACAAGTGATGTGTGAGAAGAAAAAAACAAAAAAGATGTTTTTTCAGTGAATATTTCTTATGACGAATTATACCAAGAGAAAAGAAACGTCAACAAACAAAAGCTATGTCTATACGGACGAAAAAGAAAGAGAAGTATAACTATGATATAGAAATAGAAAGAAAAATTGGAGCAAAAAATATGATTATACAAATGAAAGAAAAAAGCAGAACTGATTCTTAAAATAAAAATCAGTTACATCTGGTATAGTCGTGAGAAGACAAAAATACAGTGCCGATCCATTTAAAATACACGACAAAACAAAAAGCTAAATAGATCACATAATCGTCTATGAATATTATCATTATGATCATTATAGTTTCATGCGAGTTGTATGGGTACAAGTCACAATAATTAGATGATTGAGGAGTAGTACTAGCACGACTTAATGTTGCTAGAGATATCACTGACGATAAACCACCACCTCTTCCAAACGAGTACCAACAAAATTGAATAAATATTGTTCACGTTCTATATTAGAAGAAAATAAAATGATTATTCAATAAATAAAAATCTCGTACCGTGTCCTATCAATAGTAAATCACGTGAAACAGCTTAATGTAATGAAATATACGGAGCTGTACATGCTGCTGATTCATAGTATACTAATCTCAAACGTAAATTTTCTATCACATGGAATTTTATTCATGAAGAATTATGAATGAATGAAATCAAACATTTTTGATTTTAATAAGGAATAGCTATTATTATCTGTTGCTCAACTTATTCCATAATTCTTCGTGTACTAATCTCAAGACTATTGACACATAATAATCAAGCAATAGCTGTAGTAGTTGTGGATATCAATGTTAATTCTTTCGATATTAGTTGAGCATGTTTATTCATTGAAAGTTCACGAACAGGTGGTGCTACTATTGTATTCCATTTTATTTGTAACCAACTATCAATAATAAAAGACAAAAAAAAGATTTTCTTAAATATTCAATAAAGAGAAGATCATAATACTTACTCAAAAATAGCTTTACGTTCCATAAGACAATCAAAAAATAAAGCTGGTCTATATAAATGGATCTTGAAGACTCAAATATTGCGAACATTCATTATATTGTTGCCAGACATTTGCTATTCATTGTAATATCTTAATCAATTCATTTTCAATCGAACGATTTTCACAAATATTTCTATTAATAAATATTAATAAATAAAGGAAAAAAAAGTTGAGCTTAAACCTTTCAAAAAAAAATAGATACTTCGTGTTTACATATTGATCATACATTTCCATAAATGACGTTTAAGTAAATCATTCCACGGTACACACTATCAATCTTAAATGTTATCCATTTAAATTTTTTATAAATTTCATTTTGTCTTGATCATGTACGTTTTCTCATTGTAACAAATATGTCAAACGATCAAATGGGAAATAATAACTTGTTGTTGATTCTAGTTATCAAAAAAAAGAAAAAAATTAAATTGAAAACTATTCACAAATAATTACTTAAATCTTCTTCTCTAGAATGGAATAATTTCTGACATATATCAGCAATTAATTCACTATTTAATAATAGCTCATGTATATCAGTATCAACACTATAGTGTACATTAGAAAATAAAGTAAATATTTTACAGATTGTTGTTGTCCATGTGCCATTGATATGCAAGAAAAAGCTATAAATAGTGAAAAACAATGATTGAAAAATATAGATTAAATTAATAATCATACTTTGTTCAACAGTTTTATTAATACAATCATATAAGCTAGCAACACTTTCAAATTCAAATCTAATAACTTTGAAAGTTAAACTAGTTGAAAATGCCATTGTTCGTTCTAAATATCTTCTAAGATAGGGTGTGGGTGTGGGTGGATGTGAGTAGAAGAGAAGCCCACACTACACAACTACACCCACATCCACATTTCATGTTCTGAACAATTATCTCTTGTAACTTTGCCAATCAGTTCATCTAATGCTTGGCGGTAATTCGGAATACATCGAATATAAACGCTTTGAGTTAAAACTTTTCCACTTTTTTCTAGAAGTCGCGTGAAATAACTTTTAAAGGGTTATTACTTGTATAATGTCTGTAGAAAGAGACACTCAAGTTTATCAACGAACTCTCAGTTGAACTTTTCGATTTTTAATTACGCTGATGATTTCATGAGGTGAGTCTTTATATGCACAAGCTTGAAGGTCAGGCATACTGACACCCAACCCCATCGCTATATCTACAATCAAAAGAACATCAACATCAAAACCTACACTTTTTCTTCTTTCATCAATTCAATATTTGTTATTTGGGAAGTATGTCGTGAAGATGAATTTTCTCCATCGAAAAATGGTACAGGAAATAAAGATACAGCTGAAACATGTCGAAGAGATTTAGTACTTTATAGATATTGTTTTTATAGAATCTTGAATTAGTCAAAGGACAAAATCTGAGTTTTCCGATAATTATTGACTTGAATATGAAAACAAAAAAGGTAAATAGATTTCTATTTGAAATAATGAATTTGATTTATTAATTTACTTTTTACCTGAAATACATACATCTAAAACTTTCTCTTGAATAAATAGTATAAAATAATCTTTTCATCATTATATCGAATATACTTTTATTTTTCAAATAGTTGTAATTCACTGATAGTTTGTCTTCTTTTAAAAGACATTATCAATAGTAATAATAATAAAAATATGCAAGAAATATGAAAATAATGATAAATAAGAAGAATTATTTTTTTCCGATACTGATAACATGGTTGTCGTTGTTGTCTTATTGAGAGTTTTTGTAGCAATAATTCGAGTACTAACAGAGAAGAAATTCTTGGTAATAGTACGATTTTTTTTGGAATATCGATTTCGTATTTTTTTCTTCAATTTTCGACCGCTTGATTTCTTTGTAGTAGAACTAGAAAACAAAGAAAAAAAACAACGATTATAAACACAATCGAATCTGCTAACCTAATGGTCGTAGTTATAGTTGTAGGTTTAACTGCTAGAATATTAGGTGCTAAATTATTTTCTCCATAGACACTTTTTAATACTTCATATCGATCACATAAACCACATAGACGTGGACATTCTAATGGAACATTAACAGCAATACATGATTCAGATGAATAATAGGGACATGGAGGTAATGTTGAACAATTTACTAAGCAATATATTTCATTCAGTCATATTTATAAAAAATAACTTACATCGTTCACATTGTAAACCATTTGCATATGTTGAACATCGACATTCACATGTATTCAAATCAAGTGTACCATTATATAGACATATTTTACCTTGACAATCTAGATAACAAAAATCTTAGTTTTAAATAAAGGAAAATAGTATAAAATAAAATAACCATGTAATGGTTGATCATCAAAACCTTGATCATAAGGTCTATGAAAATCACTGTTCAGTTGTCTAATAATAGTTCATAAAATAAAATCGATTGGGGATGAGTTGTTTCTATCTTTTTAATAACTTACCCAGTGATATAATTACAAATATAGAAAGGCCAAGGCATGTCATATGATCCATATGAAGGACATATTGTTGCTGCACAACCTATTAATGCTGTTGAATGCCATATCATCTAAAGAAAAAGAAAATCAATAATAGAACTTCAAAATTTTCTATTCTTTCTAAAGAGTTATATAAACCTGTGTATAATGAGTAACAACTCTTGCTGATGGATAACCATAGAAATAATGTTCTTTTTCTTCAATCCATCCTTGAATAGCTTGTGTCCAATTTTCATAACCCATAGCTAAATTTTGTCCTGTCGATAATGGAATTTCTAAATATTGAGTCAATGTTCAATAAAGCAAAGAAAAAGATAAACAAAATTTTCATCTATTTTTAATAATATACTTGGTACACTTCTTTGAGTGGGTTTATCATGATCATATAGACATCCACGAGCATAATGTAGAGCAATTTGAGCTAAATCATCATTCCAATACTATTGAACTGTCAGATGTTAGATGATATGAGCTAAAAAGGAAAGAATCTGCATACCATTTTTTGAATATTAGTTCCTCGAAGAAGACGTCGTTCATAATTATGCATTTGAAGAATGTATACACGTTCCCATGACGTAATTGGTTGATCAATAACACCTGGATAGGGCTGTGAGCAAAATGAATGTTGTGGATCAATAACATGATATTCGAGCGGACATAGATCTATATTATTTATATATTTAAAGATAATAAAATATAGGATATGTGTTTTTTTACCGTAAAATTTAAAAAAACTAAAAGACAATATAATGTAGATGAAGGCTACCAACATTTTGTGTAAATTTACATGAATGTTACACAAAATTAGTTAGACACTTGATATTTTTCTGCTTTTTTTTCTTTATGTTATCGATGTCACGTACAAATGTTTTGTTCGAATGGACATGTTTATATCATGCAATATTTTAGTTTATGACGATAAATACTATGAAAAAAATATATTATCATGCACATAACCATAATCATTGATACAATCATTCAAATAATGTGAAATTCGTATAAAATTTTTGTATTAATAATGTGAATAAGAACAAACAATCTGATTCATCCATTCCACAGAATGTATTATTTTATCAAGAAAAAGTTAATTATTCTTATGTTTAATAATAAAGTTCTATCGAGGGAAAGGTTTTATTTTTTTGAACTGTTTTATACAATAACAAAATTTTCAATGAGTTTATCTAATTCCAATTTGTGATCCGATTTTGGATTTACATTATACTATTTTCGGAAGTAATTTTAATCATAAACATTGTATAAAATTTAACTTCTTTTTTTGACATGAGCACCATTACAAATATTATAAATTAAAAAAAGATAATGATAATAAAAATACACGATTAATATAAAAAGCTAAAACATCGAAACATGATTATATACAACAACACAATAGATTTCGAACTTCAAACTACAAGTACATATGATGTTCAATTTGAAGTACGTTTGAATATAATCATGTCTGTGTCACCTTTTATCATGTTTTTATCTGGTTTTCTAACTTTATCAAAAGAAAAATTTACAATTCATGGTTAAAATTTATGTTGAAAGAGATTACATAAAAATTGTTCCATATCATTAAAAAGAGACGATGTATCTTGTCAGAAACAGAAATCATTATCATAAAAAACGATTCATTTTTAGATATTGTAACGAGACCGTTCCTTTTCTTTTAGTCAATGCTTATTTTTCAGAGTTTCCTTGAAAATTCCATTAAATAGTACCATATGAGATGTTGAAGATAAAGGATGTCGGTGTAGTCGTGTGTATATTTGCAATAAAATCACAACGAACATATTGAATAGGCATTTACTAGCATGGATGTGGTTCATTCGTAGCACCAAGAGAATTGATATTACCATCATTAGTTTTATTTAAAGAAAACACGTATATTCCTTTTGTTTCGTATAAGAAACATAACTGATTATGAAATAAACCATTCAATAGTGACAATGGATAAGACACACAATTTTAGATACCTTTATAATGAGTATGTATATGATGACATGACTCTTGTCTATATTAGGACTCGTCTGTTTCATTTTGTCAGTTGATCAATACAGATTTTATTTCAATGAAATCATTACATATAGTCGGCAATGATACATATTCACATATATAATTGAACCTTGAATATTCATCATCACAAAAGCTAGAGATATTTTTTATTGGTATGCATTGTAAGACTTATTGTCATGTAAAAATATTTATCGAAATCAATAATTCGTCATCTTCATAATCGCCATCATATGTTTTGTCGAAAAGACGAATATTTGAAATGCATTTGGATGAATCGATACATACGTCATGTATTACAAAACAAAGAACTTTATTGCATTAAGACAATTCTTTAAGCAAGCAAAGATTATAATTATTGACCTAATAATAGTCTGAAATAGTTGTAAAATTTGAATGAAAAATATTGAGGATGATGACAAATAGCGTTGTTGAATAAATTTGTAAAATTGATAACTTTCAGTAATATCCATTGGTGCTGACTAGCTTTAGCTATTTTTGAAATTTTAATAGACTGCTAACAGTAAGAATATGGACCGTTGTGTTATTTCCCACAAGGAAAAATCCACCAAAATTCATTTTTTGATCGAGAACTAAAAGTAATTTCTAATGAACTTGATATTAGGCAAAGAGAACTGTCTAAAACATTCCAATAAACCAAAGCGTTCATCACTCTATCAACACCTCGTATGAGATCAGTACTAATTTCTATCGAATGTCTCTTCATCATTTTCAGTTGAAGTCAAATTCTCTTTGTATTAGTTTTTGCGTATAACTTTTTTTTCGAAAGCAACAAAATAAAACGACACGTTTTATTTTAGGACAAAGCATCCAGATCAATCGAAACAAAACGTTATTTTTCACTTGTGTTTGAAATAAGGATGAATAATAATTCTCATGCTTTGGCGAGCATAGTAGATCTCTGTTTGGTTTTAAAAATTATTATCAAAAAGCATGAACAATAAATATTAAAACCAAAATTCAACGGCTTTCGAATTTATCTTATTTTTCTTTGTAAGAAATCATATGATGATGTAAAATTCCGAAAATAGCTAAAAAGATTTAGTCTTGTAATCAGATTACAATATTCCATGCCACAATCTTTTGAAAAAAAAAACAATCAACGTTTTACCACTTTCTTGAATAGAGTTATATGCAAAACAAAAAATGTCGCAAAACTTGACTGATTTCACAAATATTGTTTTCCTTTGTTTTCATGCAGCAATATGAAGATGATCGTGCTCTAGCACAACATGACTATCATTATTATTTATTGATTTTGTAAGGTCGTGATTCATTCCAAGTAGATAAACGACCGTTGAAAATAAGAATAGGAAATAAAAAACAAATTTTCGAGATGATAGTGTTTCGTAAAATCTTGGCCACTACGATTTTCTTTTATATTTATATAGAAATTAAATGAATTCAAGAAATACAAATGGCATTATAGCTTATTATTTGATCTGTCCTCTTTTTTTTGTTAACAATCATTTAACATAGATTCTCTTTCATCAATCATTCATATGCAACTTAATCTGAAATCTAATGAAAGTTATCAATAGCCTATGATACCTTGCTGGTATAACAGAAGTCTGCCATTTACATATATCTTCATATTATATATTAAAAAAAAACAAATCGTCACAAATATAACATTTCATAATGGAAGTTTTCCTAATTTTTTCATCTCTTGTCTTTATCTTAAATATGTGTAAAATTTAAAAACTCAGTACCAATAATAAATTTTTTGATAGATATGCCAAAATTTTCAATTATTACCACCTTATTTAATAAAATGTACAGATGATTAGTTTTCTATTACTTAATATTCATCGAGTATTCTTATATAATACTCATCCAACTCTTCCATACTCCGAAGAAAAGTTAAAATATTCTCTTGCAAATTATATAATGAATATATTTTTTATTTTAACTTATGAACAAATAATGTTAATTATATAAGTAAATTTCTTATTATTCTTCTTTGATGTAATAGTAAATATTATAATGTAAAACAGGTTTCTGTTAAAAAACATGATTTCTACAAGCAAATAATAATTTCTAAGAAATATACGTTCTTAGACTATAAAAGAAAGATGATCAGTGCTCTTTTTTCTGTTGTGAAGAAATTCTTATTATATTTAATATTAAAGTTAGTCAAGGAACAACTCCAAGTAATTTAGAGCCTTTGCAGTGAGACTAGAAAACACCTAATAGAATTAGAGCTCATCAATCTTTCTTCTCAAGTTATCGGAATTCCATTAGGTTGATAATTTATAGTAAGAGACTTAACGAAAATTCAAAGTACACAACTTTGATCTGAAACTATTTCCACTCATAGACGTCATGATCCTTATACTGGCCTTATAATGTTACAGTCGATAGAATGAAGCTAATTACTTACTCTGAACAGTTGACAACAGATAAGTTATTGAAAAACTTCATGTCATGAGTTTCCAATCATTTGTTGTTGACTATTTTATTGAAATAGTGATACAGATAGAAATTATGTAGTTTTAGTTTCGATGAAGATAAGTACAAAGTAATATGCACACATGTAAAGATATCGAAAGTTTTAGTGATATTCAAAATTTGACTAATGAAGTTGAAGCTTTAATTGAAAATTACAACAAGTGAAAATAATTTATCAATAATCTCGATATTTCTTTTTCTTCTTAATTCAAAAATATAGAAATATGTACGTATCTTAAACAACGCTAATCAGTTAGAGAACAAGAAGAAAAACAAAAAATAGATGTAAAGTGTAATATAGTCGTGTTTTTTTGTTTTTCTATTGCAGGTTACTCTTAACATAAATAGTCACAATCATGATAAAAAAAATTCACCTATAGAATATTCTACGATCTGACGATATCGATTTTTTTTTCAACGCTTGTTTATCTTGGCATGTCTATTTCGTTCATTACTGTAGATATGCATTTCAAAAATAGTTTCAAAAGTTCAAAACCTACAAAGAGTCCCGAGCACTAGCAACAGTATTTCGAGATACCAAATCTTGAGACCGAATTCGAAATTGATCAAAGTTGTTGGATTTTACAATGATAACTTATGCAACTCTAGAACTGCTTTTACAGGTAACAATTAAATACTTCATGATGGTCGAATAGTTTTGCACTGACTGCTAGATGTAAATGTAGGGTAACGTGTGGTTAATCATTATTGTCAATGAATTGATCTCATGAAGTTTTAGAACATTTCGATATATATATATATATATGTATTTGAGATGATGTAAGAAATCAATACAAATATAAATAATAGTCAAACAAAAAGGATTGAAAAGTAGATTATAATAAAATGATCACGAATCAGAAGAAAAGACTTTTCAAGGTAAACATGGTTCAGTTTAACTTACAGATTAGTTACTTTAACAATGAGCCTATTCTTTTTATTGATTTCTTTTTCTGTTGTACTTGCTGCCATACAAAGGAACTTTTCATAGATCTAAATTCATTGATCAGACATTGACTTTGAATCATTTTCGTAAAAAGTACAGGGTCGGAAAAAATATTTTGATAGGGGGTACCGCTATATTCTGAAATAGAGTTAATAATGAACTTTATACCCAATGAAAGCCGGTCAAAAATGGGATTTATTGGTACTAAACAATAAGGGTTATGGAAACCTTCGTGTATTGAAACTGTCGAGGTTTAAAGAATTTTGCATAATGCAATCATTATAATTCATTTTTAGCGGGTTGTAAGACAAAGAAAAAAGGAAATATTCTTTGGAAAAATTGAAAAGAGCATCCCTCTGAGGATCATAAGGCCTATCTATGATTCAGAAGGTGCAATTTTCCTTTTGTGTTCTGTCGTCTATTACTTGTGGTGACGGTGAAGAAAAAGATTTTTTTATTTTTCTTGTCTTAGAAAGTTAGAGAACAGTAAAGTTCGAGAAGTTTATGAAATCACATATAAGATCATTTTCTAATCAATATCTTTCTTAAAAAATCTATCCTTTCGGTGCATCAATTAAATCTAATCATTCTAAAATGGCTGGTACTTATGATACTGAAGAGCAGAGACTTATTGATAGAATCAAATGCATTGCTTTTCGTGCAGCTAGAGATGCTAGTGCAACGTTTATTAATCGCCATTAGATTGCGAACAAAGTTCATCGTTCGGTTCAATTTGTCACAGACTGGTGGGAAAAACCATATGACCAATGTTTTGCTGATTATTCAAATGCCGGTCGAAAGCTTAAATTATCACAAGCAAGTCAAGATATCATTCTTAAAACCAGTTGTCGACAAAGAAAAAGCTGTTCCGTTGTGGCGAAAGAGACTGCAGAAAAGCAAAAAGAATATGTCACTCGATGAACAATTAATAATTACCGTCATTGAGAAGGATTAAAACCATATTATGTTATTCCAAAACCGCTAAAATCTGAAACTCACATATCAGATCGATTATGGCTGTGCGATTGGTTAAAAGATTGGACTGAAGAAGATTTTCTTCATCCGGCATCATCTGATGAATTTTACGTGTGGGCCGTTCGTCGACCAAATTATCAGAACGATCGAATTTGGGCAAAAAGCGTCGATGATATCGAAAAAGACGAACGTTATCGTGAAATGGTTAAAAATCAACCATGCATTGGAATTTTTGTGATATTTACCGCTAAAAGGTTACATTGGGTGATTCAACATAAAGGTGAATCTTGGACTGGTCAATATTTTCGTGATGTAATTTTGACTGAACACGTCTTTCCATTCTTAAAAAACGAAGAAAATGTCATTGATCCCGATGAAGTTATATTTATCTATGACAAAGCACCATGTATGCGAGCATATCAGACCCAACATTTGCTTCAAGACAATGATGTTAAATTTTGGGGTAATGATATTTGGCCAGGAAATTCACCCGATCTCAATGTGGCAGAACATATTGGAACAATAATCAAGGATGAAGTTGAAAAAAAAGATGTTATCAGAACCTGGACATTCTCGTTATCTTGAAGAAACGCTCAAAATGCACATTTTAGATGTTTTGAAAAACATGGAAACCGATACTGATTTATTTGAAACTCTCTTATATTCGTATCCATCTCGACTAGATGTAGTAAAGAACGCTAATGGTCGTCACACTGGCTATGGATTGTTTTCATTAAGCAATGAAAAAATAAAGAATTTTGTATCACATTTAGTTCGAACTTTATCTCATCAATAACTTTTCTCACACTTGTGATCAATGGAATTTACTATGTTTAAACATTTCAACATACGAAAGTTCCTATAACCTTTATTGTTTAGTACCAATAAACCCCATTTTTGATGGGCTTTCATTTGGTATAAAATTCATTATTAACTCTATTTCAAAATATAGCGCTACCACCCTATCAAAATATTTTTTCCAACCCTATAAAAAAAAGACAATTTTCCATTTATATAGATCCATGTTTACGATACTCTCTAATAAACAATTATGCTGAGCTAAGTCGATATCTGACCTCAATGAAAATAAGAAGTTTGATATAATATTTGCAACCTCCTATACGAATAAAATTATAATTTTCTTCAATTCTGTTAGATTAGCTTATTTTAGACACAGAAACACATGATATCAGTTATTCTTGTATATAAGTTCTAATTACTAGAATTTCTTGATTACAAGATTTGTAAAATTAGTTCATGAAATAAAAAAACAGCAGGTTTTACTTTTTTTCATACAAAGAGCAATACCACAAACACTGCATTGCATGCATGCTACTAAATTCTGGAAAAACTCTCGCACTGTGGTATCCACATCTTCCTCTAGACCTAGCAACAGGTACATCAGTAGAATCCGTCGGATTTAGATCTGGACCGGTCGAGTCGTACTTTGATAATTTCAACGAAATTTTTTAATCAGAGTTGAATAGTTGCCCTGAAGATATGAGACAACTTTTTCCTGCTCTTGAATTCGGTGACTAACACACTTTTCACATTCGTCAGATGACTAAAGCCCATCGATTCAAAAATTTTCGTACTCGGCTTGAGTTCAAAACTGATCTGATGGACTGTACATATATGCTAATGTTGTAGATGTAGATTGACTGGAAATGCCACGCTATATATCTTTTAAGGAATTCTTCAGAACTTTCTCAACGTTCGATACAGTTCGAGAACATTCTTTATTATTTCATTGAATGAGATTATGTACTAATTTTTATAAATTATGTTGTGAAAAAAGAATTTTAAAACATTTGTAACATTTTTGATAGTATGGAAGTCTGAAGGTTAATTGAGTTCTCATGAAAAATTTAATATTGTAATTCGTTCTTTTTACCTATTTATCATTATTTATTCGTGTGTCTTTTTCTCTGTTTGTCACTGTTTTTCTTATTAGTTTTTGGAATTCTTATGTGGCAAAGATGCTCAGAAGCACATCTGATCTCAATGAGAAGGTATGCCGATATTGATATGATATCTCACTGATCTTCCTGTCCTCTTTCCTCTATATTCTCTCTTTAATGTTCTTTCCCATACGGATCTCTTGTTCTCTCCCATGTGGGCATTTCTTGTATGTGAAGTAGTCACATTCTGGAAATATGACGTAGATCGATAAACATAATTAACTAGAGTGGCAGTGAGTTAATTCCCCCAATTTGTCCTTCAGAAAAGCTCCAATTATTTCTCGTCCACGTTACTGAGAAAAGGACTTCATATAGGCTTTGATTTCTTACTTTTTTCTTTATTCTAATCTTGATCACTAGGCAATGTAATTTGAGCACAAAACTTTTCGAGAAACTAATTGTCCCTAGCAAATCTTAAGTCTTACGCCAAAACTTGTATCTCTTGATTTAGAGCTCACGTGGTTCGTTCAGTTCCGATTTGAATTCTCGATTGAAACATGAACTATAATCAAAAGAGAAATCAGGCATACTAGACCGAGTTATTAAGTTTCATTCTAAGTATGTATCTTCTCATGCAAAAAGAACCATTGACACAACATTAATCTATTAAGATCAGGAACTTTCTGTTAAAAATCGAGTAGAACAAGTAATGAATTTGTCTGTACCCGTGTTAGAATTCATCCTGTGCATATAATTGCTTCTTCAAAACTCTGTGAAAGTGATAAGTTTTTGAGAAATCTACCAAACAAAAGATGGTTTTTATCAAATAATTAGTATATTTTCTAAATATTTTCTAATGAGCAGTCGCACAGAAACTTAAACAGATGACATGCTTTGTACGAAAGACAAGAGTTACCTGAAAGATGAAGACGATTATTTTGCTCTATACTAGCCGAATAGAACCGAATCAAATTGCATCAACTCCGGATCGAGATTTTCTCATTTGTTTTGCTCTCTGATCTGCATATTGGGAAAGTGGCATAGGAATGTGGGAGGTACAAATACGTTAGAAGCAAGAAAAAAACAGTTCTAATATAAGACTTTGACAAAAGATTATTTCCAGAGTAGATTCGTCTTCTGCATCTCAACTTGTTTAGGTCATCATTTTTATTCAAACGATGTCAATCACTGCTGCTCTTATCAATAATCTATCTCGACACATATTCATTTATGGAGGCTTTTTCCTATTTACCGTTGGTACCATCGGATCCTGCGGCAATCTATACTTATTTACTAGACCGCGTTATAGGCGCGTTCCATGTTCTCTTTTCATGTTGACAGGTACATTAATTGATCTCTTTCTGCTCATCGTTCCATTACTGGCATTCCGTACCCTAACTCAAGTTTTACAATACGATTTTATGGCATCGAGTGTATTTATATGCAAAATACGTTCATACTTGATCAATACATGGCTTCCTGTGCCTATATGGTGTGTTTGCTTGTCAGCATTCAATCGTTTCTGTATCACATCACGTAATGCTACACAACGTCAGTGGTGCACAATGAAACGGTCTCGAATTATGGTTGCTGTTCTTATTCTTGTCTTTATGATTTACCGTCTGCCAGATCTTTACTATATGAATTCTTTTTACACTAATGGTCGATTCACTTGCACTTTCTCCTCATCAGCTTTCATCTATAATAACCTTCATATCTACTTTACTATCCCTGTTCTCTTTACTACGGTACCTCTGATTGTTTTAATCGTTCTCACTATTCGTACACGAGCTAATCTTCGTTTGTTCATTGCTCGAAAAAGGGGCGCTAGGATGGAATACCAAATAACATCAATGGTTCTTCTTCAAGCACTCGGTAACGTTTGCTTAATACCTTATACAATCAACGTTTTCTACACGGCAATGACGAAGACGATAATAAAGAATGAGTATCAAATGGCGGTAGAGAACTTGATAACTCAAATCGTTACACTCGGTTTCTATATTCAATATGCATCAGGATTTTATATCTATCTGATTGCTTCGTCCGATGCTCGGCAAATTATTCAATTGGAATGGAACAAGATCAAAGGCAAATTGGGTGTCACCAATCATGTTACGCCAGTAACTATTCAAACAGTACATAATGATCAGACCATCATTCTTTGATAAGTACTAAAACAGATTTTTTTGTCGTCATTTCTCTGCTTCTCTTTCCCGCTTCGCTTTCATATTAATCAAAATCAACATTGCATAAAATTTATCTTGAAAAAAATTATCGTGCTCTTTGTTTCTATCATATTGTTTGTCAGAAAAATTAATTTAAAAAAAATGATTTGTAATAAGTGTTGCATGTTGTATAAGTGTTGTCTTCTGCAAATCCAAATTAATTTTATTTATATGATTTTGTCGTAATAAATTACACGAAGCTGTGCAACAGTATCGTCTATCAGCTTGAAAACTTCAATATTTCTTATAGTAAAATACACAATTATATTGATCTAGTTAGACTAGCCGAAGTACTAATATTCATAAACAGGAATGACAGATGTATTACGATTTTGAATTATGAGGAAGCACTTCTTATTGATTCGATGCTGCTCACAATATACAGGATGATTCACCTATTTTTACTAGTTCTTCAATTTGCTGTATCTCTACAAGACTTTAGAAGTTCTTAATTTCTATATGATTAGATAGAGCATTGATTACTCTGTCCAACCGCATAGTTTTCTTTTGATTTATTTCATATCTTGATGAAAAAAATCAGAAGATTCCTAGAACTAGTGCAACAAAACTTTTTGCACAGGTCTACTACACTTGGACTCAATCTAATTCACATGAAAACAATTTTAGTTTGGATAGATACATTAAGCTTAAAATGTCACGAAGTATTGATTAAAAATGTTGTAAGTTTGAGGAGAAAATTCAATTTCACTTCTGCAGTTTGGACACTTGTGTAGCATTAGATTTTCAATACTTTTGGCACTACCTCGAATTTACCTATAATGCCTTGTAACTAAATCAGGTCAAAATTGTATGAATTAATAGAAAAGTTTTTGTTCTATCTAATTGTATCTTAATAGAGACGATTAAAGTAGCTGAGCGGCTTAACAAGTACTTGACAAAGCTATCTGATCAAATTTTTACTAAAAACATTCGTCAGAAATTCACTCGAATTCCAGTGAAACTGAGAAATAGATCGGGTGAAAAGGAATAATTTGATAGAGAAGTAAATTCTCTATCTAGCTGTATCGAAACAAAAGATAATCATTCGTCCAATGCGTGGTAATTGTTCAAATTACTCAAAGACAAAAATCTTTAACATTTCACAGAAGAAAGTTTTTTTTAATCTGCTTCTCAGTATTTATTCATTTTTGTCATAAAAGTATAATATGAATCAACAGAAAACTATACAGATGGACACAGTAATCAATGTTCTCTCAAACCATGTAGAAATAAATAATTCTGAAGTTTTGCAAAGATATAGTAAAACGAAGAAAACTAGTAAAACTAAGTGAATCATCCTGTACAGTAGTATATCATTGGAAAGCTGTTCAAGAATAAGAATAGAATTATGATATCATGTCGCCTTTCTAGTAACTAGATAAATGATATCTAGTAATGAACATTGTGCCACTTCAAAAACAATAGTTCTAAGATGCCTAGTCGTGATCAGATATGA